GGATTCCTCCTCGCCCGATGTCATCCTCGTCCTGGCCTCGTCTTCGAGGGAGGAGGGGGAAGGGAGAGGGGGGAAGGGAGAGGGAGGAGAAGGAGGAGGAGGGGGGAGGAGGAGGAGGGATCCCTCTTCGCCCAATTGTTGGCCCTCGTCCTGGCCTCGCTGTACCAGGCGGCGGGGATGCTCGAGCACCCAGCCGCCGGCGTCGGAGGGCTCCGCCTCTCCACCGCCCCCTCGCCCGCTTCCCCGGGGGCTCCGGAGGGGAAAACATGATCGACCCACGAACAAGGGAAAGGAATGTAGAAATGTAAGGCATGGCAACGTTTCAAAGACACGGGGTGAACCTTCAAGTCAAAACCGGGGGTGAACCAACTAAAAGAGAACCCTGGGCCTCAGCCCTTTCCGGGAAAACATGATCGACCCACGAACAAGGGAAAGGAATGTAGACATGTAAGGCATGGCAACGTTTCAAAGACACCTGACTGGGCGACGGGCAGCTGCAATGCTGCATGTATCGACCTTGATGTACTGTGCCGACGGCTGTGCTGTGCTGGGCCGTGCTGAACTGCGATGTGCCATGCCGCGATTGTGCTTTTTTTTTTTCTCTCTCTCTCTCTCTCTCTATATATATATAGATAGCGTTGTGGATCGAGTCCTCTTTACATCCGAGTCCTGACCGAACTGATCTGGATCTTAAGCTAGAGCTGCCTGAGCAGATGGTAGCTGCCCCAGAACTAATCGAAAGGGGGACATGCCAGGAGGACGCGCCGCGGAACGTCCCAAGGGACGCGCCAGGCGACGTGCCAGGGACATGCCATGGGCACGCACCGCGGGACGTGCCAAGGGGACGCGCTACGGAGGAACGTGCCAATGGACGTGCACCGCGCGACGTGCCAGGGGGACTCGCCACGGGACGCTCCGCGGAACGTCAGGCAACATGCCAGGCTGCAATGCTAAGGGTATCGATATTCATGTACCGTGCCGAGGGCTGTGCTGTACCTGGGCGACCTGGACACCTGAAAACACGCGTTTCGCTCAAGACGTTCTTAGCACATCCTCATGCTAGACATCCGCCTGGGCAACCTGGACACGTGCAAACAAGCGTCTCGATCGAGACTTCCTCGACACATCCTCATGCTAGGCATCCGCCTGGGCGACCTGGACACGTGAAAACAAGCCTCTGGTTCGAGACATCCTCAACAAATCCTCATGCTAGACATCTGTCTGGGCAACCTGGAGGCGTGAAACCAAGCGTCTCGCTCGAGAAATCCTCAAGACCTGGGCACGTGAAAACAAGCATTTCACTTGAGAGATCCTCTGAATTCAGGTCCCCAGGAGAGGACAATCTATAACACACAATAAGCGTTTCGCTCGAGACATCCTCAACACCTTCTGAAACAAAACAATCGTTTCGCTCGAGACATCCTCAAGCATAATTCCGCCGGCCCTCTTCGACTTCGTTTTTTATCGCAGATGATTCCGCCGGCCCCCTTCATGTCAAAACCGGGGGTAAACCAACTAAAAGAGAACCCTGGGCCTCAGCCCTTTCCGGGAACAAAAACACAGACACAATGCATCGTCGACCCCCAGGAAAATACAGGAAAATATATGGGAAGCGGGGGTCAGGGGCAACGACGATGGGGGGGATAGGCATAATTAGGGGGGGATGCGTCGACGCGCAATCGCCCTTTGATCGCCGATGGCGGCCCGATAGCCCCAACCTGCCCAGGAAGGTGCGGATTCACCAATCAGGGGCCCATCGCCGATCTATCGGCGATGCATCGCCGATTCCACGTCGATGCATCCCCCCTACGCCCGTCCCCCCTATCGTTGCCCTTCAGGGGGGGGTGAAGACGAAGACCCGACAAATAGGGGAGCATATGGGGAATCCTGGGAGTCGTGTCTATCTATTTGTGTGTCCTTGGACCCCCTCAGTGGCCTTTCTCCCTCCTCTTCCCCCCCCCCTTTTAAAGGGCGGGGAGGAGGGATGAGGGAAGAGAGCCGGAGGGGAAGGAGAGGGAGGGAGGGGATCATCAGGGTGGTTTCGACTCGCTATCCACTGCATCACAGATCATTTGTCGTGGCTTTCGAGGGCGGCCAGGAGGCCCTGGGGGAGGTCCGGGGAGCAGCGGCATCGATCTGCGTTCTGATAGTCCAGACCCTCCCCAGGACATCCAGCGAGCAGGAAGCGGCATGCACGTACGCTTCCTTGGCTCCGCGCGCGGCTGTTTTCTGGACTCCGCGCTGGCCTTTGCATCCTGGCGCGCGGAGTGCGCCAGCGGTGGCGCTGGAGGCGCCGCCAGGGGGGGCCCAGCGCCGATCCAAGAGGTCCACGCGGAGCTCCGGAAATTTATGCTTCTGGATTTTGATGTTCCTCCTGACATGGTCCGCTCGGCGAGCCCTGTTCCCTGCCCTGCAGGACAAGGACTTTGTCGATAAGGTGCTGCTTGAGTTCCTGCCCCAGCACTTCGGTGACGCACTGGCGGACGCGAACAGGAAGACCCAGTGGTTCTGCGATTTCCAGCGAGAGGCGGATCGCGTGCAGCCCCGTGCGGGGTTGCGGAGGTGGGGGATTACGACGAGGATGAGTATGATGTGAAGGCGGCAGGATGAGGACGAGGAGGAACACATCGAAGCATCGGTATCCGCACGAGGGCAAAGATAGGAGTTCCCGCGCGGACTCCTGCTGCATCTGCGCGGAGCCCCCGGGCGGCGGCGCCTCTGGCGCAGGCCAGGGCGCGTTTCGCGCGCCATGGAGGGGGGGTGGGGGAATAATTCGTTGGATATGCCTCAGGAGGGGAAAAAGCACAGGCACAATTAGGTGTCGGCTCCCAGGAAAATGTGGGAACAGATGGGCAGTGGGGTGGAAGACGAGAGCCCAGAAAATTGGGGGAGATAAGGGGAATCCTGTTACTTATGTGTATCTATTTGTGTGTCCCAGGGCCCCTTGAGTGCCAGCCTTTCGCCACGTGGCCGCTCGTGCCGCCTCGTGGGCGCCCCGTGCGCTGGGCGGCTTCCGTTCGTTGGGTACAGCCGGCCCGGACTAGTAGGTCGACCCTGGCAGCTCAAGGGTGCCCTTGTGTCTTGTGCCTCGCGACACGTGACTTCTTACACTCCCATTGCGATGTGGACCGCGGAGGGGTCTTGTGTCCTCTCGCGTGTCCTGCCCAATCACGGCCGACGGTATGCATCGGGGTGGAAGACGCAAGCCCAGAAAACATAGGAAATTGTGGGGAATCCTGTTGCTTGTATGTGTGTTCTCTGTGTGTCCCGGGGCCCCTTCAGAGCAATTCGTTGGGAGTGCCAGCCTTGCGCTACTTGGCCGCTCGTGCCGCCTCGTGGGCGCCCTGTCGTGCGCCGGCACGGGCTCCCCCCGAGGAGGAGTCGCCCACGGTGCTGCCCCGTGCCGCCTCGGTGGGCGCGTCGGCGGCGCGACCCCCCCGCGTGCGCCGGGGTGGGGTCCCCGAGGATTCGCCACGCTGCCGCTCGCGTCTGAGTCCAGCCACAAGGGGGCCCGAGGGGGCCACGTGCGAACCCTACCCCTTGCCCCCCACGATTCCTGAGGGGGAGGGTGGGGTTCACTTCGCTCGGGAGCTCCCGAACAAAGGGAACCCCACCCTCCCCCTCAGAAATCGGGGGGATAAGGGGCAGGGTTCGCATGTGGCCCCCTAGACCTGCCACAAGAAACCCAACCCTGAGACCTCAGGGCGTCCGGAGCGATCTTTGGCGTGGGAACGTCACGCTCTCCATGGCAAGACCGTCGAGACCCGAGAAGCCCGGGGCCACCCTGGAGCTAAAGTCGGGCCCGCCCCTCTACAGGAGGAAGGTTCAAAAATAGTCAAACATAGTCCGGGCTGCATTTCTTGCGTATATTCAGACCATGTTAGGGCACTGTTGGAGTACAGTCGGGGCGCTGAAGAAGGAACCCTTTTCGTTTGGGAGGGGCTCACTGTTCCTTAGCCGTTTCACGGGTTGCCTTCGGTTTTTCCTTACGCTTCGATGGGAAACCGAAGTTCAATTGTGGACAAAAGGGGCATCGTTCCTCATTCAGGGTTCCTTAGGTCAACGCGCCGACTGTATTGGAGAGGCCTGACGGCCGGCGCCGCCGACCCTGATCGAAAGGGCTAGGAGGGGGGGGAGGAAGCGGAGGAGGAGGAGGAGGAGGAGCAGGAGGAGGAGGAGGAGGAGGGGCATCGTTCCTTATTCAGGGTTCCTTAGGTCAACGCGCCGACTGTATTTGTTTCATTATTGGAGAGGCCCGACGGCCGGTGCCGCCGACCCTGATCGAAAGGGCTAGGAGTGGGAGGGAGGAGGAGGAGGAGGCGGAGGAGGAGGAGGAGGAGGAGCAGGAGGAGGAGGAGGAGGAGGGGCATCGTTCCTTATTCAGGGTTCCTTAGGTCAACGCGCCGACTGTATTTGTTTCATTATTGGAGAGGCCCGACGGCCGGTGCCGCCGACCCTGATCGAAAGGGCTAGGAGTGGGAGGAGGAGGAGGAGGAGGAGGAGGAGGAGGAGAAGGAGGAGGAGGAGGAGGAGGAGGAGGAGGAGGAGGAGGAGGACCTACCAGCAGCCTGAACCACGTCGCCTGCACAGCATGTGTGTCGCAACGCAGCCTGCATCACGTAGCTTTCACCCCGTGGTTGTCACCTCGGGTAGACACCGCCCAGCTTGCACGACACAGCTTGCGCCACATAGCTCACACCGCACAGGTTCCACCGCCCTAGCTCGCACCACTCAGCTTACACGACATAGCGTTCACCACGTAGTTCGAACCGCGTAGCGTTCATCCCCATTCTGCAACAACGCACTCCTTGGGACCCATGTCTTTGCATGATACCCGGTGATGAGGAGTATACGGGGGTGTGAAGGATGCGGATAAGTCGGAGGTGCAGCGGCACGGGCAGCATCAATTGGAGGGGAAGGACAGTTGCGCCTAGGAGGTTGAGGAGGAGCTGAACGAGGAGGCTGCGAGATAAATGTGCGGATTGAAATGGGGAGGGGAGAAGGGAGCAGGAGTCAACGAAGGAGCGGATGAGAAGGAGCATGGTGAGAAGGGCGAGTGATATCGTCCGTGCCACATGTGGTTCTCGACGTCAGCGTATGCCTCAGAGCTCACGTAACGAACCAGCATTATGGCGATTTGCACATACAGTCCAGTGTACAGTTCGTAGCCGTGCTTGGGGGTCCGCGCCGCGCGCGTGAATCGAGAGATGAGTAAGGAGGTTCAGGGAGGATGTTGTCCCAACAGCGCCAAACACAATGACCAGAAACGTGTGTTGTGCAGTGCAGTTGTCGGCTGCCCTGCTGTTTAGTTTGCATTGGTGGTTGTTTCCGTTGCGCATGCTCTGGCTTGAGCTTAGGATGATGTTTCTTCCAGCCTGGGCTTTGGATTCTGGGCTTCGCGTGTGAGTCGGGAGATGAATGCGGAGGTTCATGGAGGGCATAGTGCCTACAGCGCCAATCACGACCATGACCAGACCCATAATATGTTTATGTTGCATTGCAGTGTTTTGCTACGCAGTTTGTGTTGCTACCCGCGCTTCTCTTGAAGCCTGAGCACAGGAGTCTTAGCTTCACGCGTGAGTCGGGACTAATCTTGGCTTTGCGTGAGTCGTCGCATTTTCGGGAATATCCAGGGAAGAATGGTGACCAGAACCACAGTGTCTGTTGCATTGCATGTATTTGTGAATTGCGTTGTTGTTGTTGGTGAGTTGCAGGTTATGTCGTTGTTATGCGCGTTTACGTTTAGTTTGAGCTTATGAGTCTTGACGTCGCGTGTGAGTCGGGACAGGTTTGAGGAGGTTCAGTGCGGGTGTGGCGCCGAAAGCGCCAGCGACGACGACGACGCCGAATCAGAGTTTCTTTTGCACCGCAATTTTTGTTTCACTGCCGATGGTGTTGCACCGCGTTCCTCGCTATGAACATGCGGGCTCGGAGTTTGTTATGGAATTTCGCCTGGAGCCTTCAGACCCTAGAGGATGATGTATCTGATGAGGCGGGCAGCGATATCCACGGCCAATCCACGTTTGGAGTGTCACCAATGTTCAGACCCTGGATCCCCTATCCAAGGGTTCCTTATCCAGTACCCTCACCGTAGTTGTTGGAACTTGATTGTTGGATAGTGGTCTTCTGACTGTTTTGCACTGCGCTTCTTGCGGCACCACAGTTTGTTGATCCGTGCGCATTTGCACGGCAGCTGTTTAGGAGTGAGCATCATTCGCCAGCGCCACCTGCTCGTGTTCCACTTTTCCACTTCTCTGAACGAGGACAGGTCTTTTGGGTGGAAGCCACGCTACTTTGTTTCTGCATTCCGTTGGTCTTGCCCTGCATGTCCTGTTGCGCTCACCCTCGGCGCCCGAGCGTGTGCCGCCGCCCCCCAATGAGCCCCTCGCGCGCGAGGTCGAGCTCGACGAGGAGACCGGCGAAGAGCTGGGCGCGCCGAAGGTCTACGAGCCCGCCTATTCATGGGACCACGTCCAGGAGCGCCGGCTGCAGTGGGCGAGGTTGCGCCAGGGCGTGGTCTGCGAGCGGCGCCAGTGGGGCTGAGGGTTAAGTCGGGCCTGTCCCTCTGACTCTACGGAGGAATACAGGAATAGCCTGCGGACGATTTTTCTATCTTTTTTTATTTTCGTGTATTTTTGACGACTTGCACCTTTTCTTCCAAAATCCGCCTGTAGGAGGACATGCCCAACCTAAGACTACAGTGGGCGTGGTTGCGCCGGGGCGTGGTTTGCGATCGGCGCCGTTGGGGCTTAGGTGGCCACCACCTTGCGCCAAAGGTTTAAAAAGGTGCCCTCGCTTGGGGCCCTCTAAGCGTCCTAGATGGGGTCCGAGCAGATGGGGTCGGAGGACCGCGCCGCATCGCCAATGCATCCGCGGTGCTGCTCGATGTGGAGCCCGACTTTCTCTCGGCGCCGACATCGCCGATGCATCGCCGACGTCGCCGATGCATCGCCGATGTATCGTCGATGTGGCGCGATCCTCCGACCCCATCTACTCGGACCCCATCTAGGAGGCCTCTAGGGGCCCGGCAGAGACTTCTGTCGAGGTTTTCGCACACCCTCTGCAGACCACACCCTACTCTCACCACCCACCAAACCAGCCCGACCCAACCCGAAGTCTTCAATTCGCCTGCCCTCCATTTCCCGCGGGGGGGGTCGTATACATCGAAAAAAACATATGGAACCCGTACCTCCCAACCCGAAATTCGGGTCTTCGGGTTGGGTTGGGGGTGGTCTGGTAGGTAGTCATTCTCGGAGTCGCCAGCAGGAGAAGGCGTACGAGTACCTGAAGAGGCCCGGGCGCTGGGCAAGGGGGCGGGGGGGGGGGGCTGTCGGCTTGGAGGGTCATCGAAGGCGGAAGACCGGCATTAACCTGGATTTTCGGAGCTCCTGGGCGGATGTCTTGGATCGGCGCGCCAGTACTTTCGTCGCATCTTCAGGGGACCTCACCTGTCCCCCACGTTGGTGTCTTTTCTTGTGCCCGACGTGGGCTCGATGCGGACTCGACGCGGACTTGGCGTGGATTCGACGCGGATTCGACACGGATTCGACAAGGATTCGACGAGCCCGACATGGATTCGACACGGATTCGACGCGGGTAGGGCAGCGACGGGACAGACAAGGTCCCTCGAGGATCCAACATAAGCCAGCGAAGGAGGTCAGACGCCGATCTAAGGAATCCGCGCGGAGGTCCGAACAGCTCATGGAACGTACATTGTTGCTCCAGTAGCTCAGGGGCAGCATTGCGGATCGAGGGGAATGCGGTAAGCACATCGAAGCAGAAGTCGGCCCGCCACCTCAGGGCCCACAGAAATCTGTAATCCCCCAGTGGGCTCAGGGACCAGCAGGAGCTCTGGGGCACCCTGGGACCCTGAAAGATCGAGGAAGAGTGTGCACCGAGATGTCATATTGCATATAGCTTATAGCAAGCCTTCTTGTCAAATGTGCCTACCGTCGGCTCTGGGGGGGATGCATCGACCCCTCATCACCCACTGATCGCCGACAGGGTCTTGATTGCACACCCCGCCCAGGAACGTGCGGATTCGCCATCGAGAGCCTACCGCCTTTTTCTCGGCGATGTGTCGCCGATTCTACGTCGATGATCCCCCCTCCTGAGCAAGTCCCCTTTAACGTTCCCCCTCAGAGGAGGGCCAGTCGAGACAACGGAGGTCCTCTCTTACGTTATTAGTCCTTTATGTCCCCTCCTGGGGGCCTCTTTTGTCGCCATTGCGAGATCTGCCTCAAAGGCGGATCAGGATGGGCCCGAGGAAAGGTCCGTGTACTTTGTTAGTGAAAGTAATTTGTTTTAGGGTTTTAACAAATGGTCGCAGCCACGCAGAGGGCGTGCGTAGCGACGCCCCAGATGCTCGGTCTCCAGTACTTCTACGTGGCGGCGCCCCCGCAGGCACGCAAGAGGGCACGCGTGGCGACGGGGGCGTCGCCACGCAGAGCTTCGAAAGACCAAGCATTTTGAAAACCAATGGTTTCCACCCGATTTTGAGCGGATTTGGGCTGGGGGGGGAGAGCCGCCGAGATATCTCCGAGTGATGTTCTCCGCCTCTTATATCCTTCACAGCCGTGCTTCAGGAGGGGAAAAAACACACACACACAAACACAATTAACCGTCGACCCCCAAGAAAATATGGGAAAATATGGGACTTGGGCGGGAAGACAAAAACCCAGAAAATATTGGGAAATATGGGGAATATGTTTATTTGTGTGTATTTATTTGTGTGTCTTGGGGCCCCTTCAGTGTTCTAGAGCTCGGAGCCTATTGTTGCGAAGGCCTTACGGCGGGTGCCGCCGATCCGGAAGGCGGGACCTCCCCCGAGGACTCCCGCGGGCACCCCCCCAAGGACCCGCTGGGACCGCGGAGGCCCTGACCTTCCAGGAGGGCTAACAAAAATAGCACCCGACCTAAAAACCTATCCCAAAGCTATTATACGTCTTGGTGTTCGGCTGTTTCGCTCAGCTTTTTAGGCTTTTAGGTCTCCAGTGCTAAAGAATAGCTCTCTGGAAGGTCAGGGGGGGGCGGTATTCTGACCCGGGACCTCCCCCCTCGCCCGGCAGGGCAGGGCTAAAGGGAATAGGTTTTCCCTTCGACTTAAGTACGACGTTCCTTTCCCTTGTTCCTCAATCTTCGAGACCGACGACGACGACGACGACGACGACGACAGAGCCGTCCACACGGCGAAGGGTCGGTGGATTTTCGTCGTCGTTGGTTCGTGGCCCTCTGGATCCCCCTGCCCGTGTCTCCTCGGTGTGGCCTCAGGAGAGAGGACCAGGATAGCCCTGCGGGCAAAACTTGTGTCCATATCCACTGCAGCTTGGGGTTTCGGGCTCCCTTCCCCAGAAAGCCGAGGAGCACTGGATATGGATAAAAATCAGGCCCCTACTAGAGGCTCCAAGTTTATCCATATCCAGTGCACCTCGGCCTTGTGGCGCCCCTTCCACGAAAGTCCAAGACGCCCTGGATATGGATATAAATATTGCCCGCAAGCCCCAAGACTTCCCCCCTCGCCCTGCGTCTCCTGGCCCAGGCCTCCCCTCGTGCGAGCGCCAGCGCCCTCGTCCCAGCAGGTCGTGCCCCGAAGCAGCTTTTGTCTGCAGGGGCCGTATATGCCCCCCCTCGGGCGAGGCTTTCCCCGGGGCCGAAATCGGCAGCCCGTGGCCAACCCAAAATTAACCCAAAACTATGTTCAGACAGCTACGCTCTATATCCCCAATGTTTGCCATACATTTTACCTGTGAAATTTGTGTGTTATACAGTCGGGGCGCTGAGGAAGGAACCCTTTTCGTTGGGGAGGGGCTCGGTGTTCCTCGAAGGTTTCAAAGTTTGCCTCAGGTTGTCCTCATGTTTTCGATAGGAAATCGGGGCTTAACTTATGGAAAATAGGGGCCTCGTTCCTTATTTAGGGTTCCTTAGGTCAACGCCCCGACTGTAGGTCTCCCATGTGGTCTCCCATGTGGTCTCCCGTGTGGCCTTCCGCAGGCTGTCCCGTACGATCTCCCGCATGCCTGTCGCATGGCCCCCCACGCGGTCTCGCGCAGTCTCCCGCACGGCCTCCCGCACGGTCTTCTCCCGTTGTGGCCGCCCGGGCTGATCCCTTCCGCACGGTCGTCCGCATGCCTTCCTGTGTGGTGCTCGCATGGTGTCTCGCATGGTGTCTCCCGCATGGTCTCTCCCGCATGGTCTCCATTCTCGTCTCTCCCGTATGGTCTGCCGCAGCGTCTCCCGCCATGAGCTCCCGTGTGGTCTCCCGCCTGGTCTCTTGCATGTATTCCCGCCTGGTCTCCCGCAGCGTCTCCCCTTTGGTCTCTCTCCCGGATGGTCTGCCTCATAGTCTCCCGCACGAGCTCCCAGATGGTCTCCCGCACAATTTCCTGCATGGCCTCCCGCACGCTCTCCCGCGTCATCTCCCGTATGGCTTCCCGCCTGCTCTCGCGCATGGCTTCCAGGGGCTTCCAGCACTTCCCCTGTACACCGCACCGGCTGCGCCGTGAGATGCGCTGGAAGTGGAGGGCATCCTGGGCCCCAGCTTGCCGTAACACCACTGCCGCCCCGAAGCGGAGATGGCGCACTCAGGCCGGGGGGGGGGGGGCACGGGCGGAGGCGAAGGAGTCCGAGGCCCGAAAACCATCACTTCACTAATTTTGGGCCCCAGGGCCCACTGAGGCCCCAGGGGCCCCAGATTGGTGAAGTAATGTTATTTCCCACGTAAGGACCCCGAACTTCATCACTTCACTAAACCGAGCCCAGGACGAAAGTCAGGAGCTGAATTGCTGCTGTGATGCAACATCGGCCTCGTAGGGAGGCGCGTGCTCGGCTGCGCGTAGGAGTGACCGCTCGCCGGAGGGACCGGCGGTGCGGGGGCACGCGCGGGGCCCCCAGATATGGCTGAATGCGACGCGACGGCAGCGGCTTGCGCGCTCGGGTTTGGCCCCCCAGCGCCCCCTCCTCCTCCCCCCTCCTCCTCGTCCTCCTCCTCCTCCTCCTCCCGAGAGCCGCGCACCAAAGGCCACTCTTGCCTGGGGCCACTCTTTCGTGTGGTCGACTGAGTTGGGTGCCGGAGGGCATGCCACCAAGTTGGGTGACTGGCCCGCCGGTGTGTCCAGCGGCTGCGCGCCGACTTCCATGGTCCGAGCGGGCCCCTCTCGCCCCCCCTCGCGCTCTTTTCTTCTTCCTCACTTCCTGTGCTCAGCTCGCTTCCAGCGCACCCTGCCGCCTTCTCGACCGGTGCCTGACCGTCCGAGACAAATTTGCACCCGCGGACCTGGAATGTGTGGAGCGGGTGTCCCAGGTTCCCCCGTAGCCAGGTTGAGACGCGCGACGTGTGAGTCCAGTGGCATTCACTGTTTTCCTCGCGGCTCTGCTTGCACAGTGTGCCGCTGGAAGGTTCAACGACGCGTACCCCCAGAAGGCGATGAACCTGGTTCTCTTTGAAGAGGCCGCATCCGTCAGCAAACCAGAGTGCCTGGTTGCGCGCACGTTTTGACGGCCATTCTCTACCCGACGCGCGTGCGTTCATGGCTTAAGAAGAATGATTCTGCACAGAGTCAGGACTGGACACGGTGCCTCTGTTATATTTGATGAATCATGTGTTCAGCCATTTTCCAGAGTGGCATCATGCTATTATGCCCGTCATCGTTGTCTTCGCTTCCTTCAGAGCAGGGCGTCATAGTGTGGTGGGGTGGGAAGTGGCTGTCCCGCGGGTGATTATGCGGGGGGGGGGAGTGGGTTGGTAGGTATCTCCCGTCTCCGTTTTCCTTTCTTGCTCTCCATCCTCCCCTTCCACCTTGCCCCCCCTTTTCTCCTCAGACCTCTGCCGGGTTTTGCGCTCCATCCGCAGGCCACAGAGGACTCGACTTTTCTGTTCCCGAGGGCTGGCTGTCGCGTCCCAGTTTTTCGCTCGGCTGCCCCATGGGCCCCGAAGCACCACCCGCGAAGGCGAAGCTGATGGAGCAAACGACGAGGGGAAACGATTCGCCAGAGGTGTAGCTAGCCTAGCAGCATCATCCGAGCGTTCGGGGGAGACTGCGCGCGAAGCATGATAACGAAACGCGGTCTCCGAGTGCCAGCGCCCAGAATTCTCTGAAGCTTCGGGGGTGGCGAAGACGGGGGGGCGATGACTTGGAGGGAGGGGGTGATCCTGGCCAGGGCCACGACGTCTCCCCGGATTTCATGGCCCCCTCTTCTGATTTCAATGCGCCCCTTGGCCCCCCCCTGGGCCGCGCACGTGCCTCGGGCTATGATTTCCCCCCCCCCCCCCCTCTTAGACGCTTCTCTCTTTTTGTTCCCGGTGGACTGGGTTCTTTCCTGGCAAACTGGGTTCTTTCTTGGCGCAGCGCCGGGAAAGAGCCCATTCTGTGTAGTTTTTCAGCGGATGTCTCGCGCTTCGGTTTTCCAAAGTAGTTACCGCTGCCACCTTCAAGAGGTTTCGCACTTCAGTTTCGCTAGGGACACACCGGGGAAGAGTCCAGTTGTGAAGAAGTGCTACGCTTACGAGGGATCATGCGGAACATGCGTGTACATATGCATATATGTATATCAAAGTGAGAGGGCCGCGCGGTCATTCATTGTCCCTGGGTGCGTGGCTGAAGTGGGGATCCGTGGTGGGGATTCTGCTTGTTGTTGTTGTTGCTGTTGTCGTCGTCCCCCCCCCCGCGACCCGCCTGCGACCCACTCGCGACCCACCCCAAGACCCACCCCGCGACCCAGCCCGGGACCCACCCCGCGACCCACTTCGCGACCCACCCGCGATCCACCCGCGACCTACCCGCTACCCACCCCGCGATCCACCAACATTGCTTCTACGAAAAAATCGGCGCCTGCGGCGGGCTCATTTCATAATTTGTAAAAGTTAGGCGCCTGCGGCGGGCTTCTTCAGAGCCTCGCAGACTTTCGACGCCCTCGCTGCCCCCTCGCTCTTATCCGCAACTGCCGGGTGCTACGTATGGGTATATATATATATATGTGTGTATATATACAGATATATACACATGGTGGTGTGTGTGTGTTTGTGTATCTGGTGGTGCGTGCGTTTGTGTTCGTATGTGCGTGTGCGTGCGTGCGTGTGCGCGTGTGCGCGCGTGGTGACGGTGGTGGTGGTGGTGGTGTGGTGGTGGTGCTATGATTCCTATTCTTACTACTAGTACTACTAGTAGTACTAAGACGACGACTACTACTACGACTACTGCTACCACTACTACTACTACTACTTCTACTACTACTACTACCACTACTACTACTACTACTACTACTACTACTACTACTACTACTACTACTACTACTACTACTACGACTGCTACTACTACTACTACTACTACTACGACTACTACTACTACTACTACTGCTGCTGCTACTACTACTACTACTACTACTACCCATACGACGACTACTACTGCTACCACTACTATTATTATTAGTATTTCTGATACCACTATTCCGAGTACGTTTACTACTACGACTACGATTAAACTACTACGTTTATTGCTATGACTCCAACTACGATTACCACCACTACAATTACCATTGCTAGTACCCCTACCACTACCACTACCACTACTACTACCACTACTACTACTACTACTGCTGCTACTACTACTACTACTACTACTACTGCTACTACTACTACGACTACCGCGATAATTAATATCACGACTACTGTCCATGCTGCTACTACTACTACTACGATTACTGCTACCTACTACTACTACTGCTGTACTTCGCCGACTAGTATCAATAATATTTATTTTATGACCAAAACAAAAGAGACTCAGACTCCGATTCCTGTTATCATTTTCGTTATGAAAATGTCACTACCACTACCACCACAACTATTACTACAGCTACCACCTCCACTGCACAACTCCTATTACTACAAATACGAGTATTACTGCCACTACGAATTATTTCCACAACTACAACTAGTAGTACTAGTCTTACGACTACCTTTACTATTACTCCGACCACCTCCACCACTAGTACTTTTACGACGACTACTACTATCACGATTTTTAACGATACGGTTGCTATTACAACTGTAATGCACTAGTACTCATACGACTACTGCTCCTACTGCTACTACAACCATTCCTGCGTTTACTATTCCGGCTGCGATTACGACGATGGGTACGACCATTATGATTAATATTGGCGGTAATGCATAATAGCACGGCGAGAAAAGCCATTACCACTAGCACCCCCACTCTCATCACTACCACCACGTCCACGACCACAACCAGTACCATTGCTACCACCACCACCACTACCACCACTATCACTACTATTGCTACTACTACTACTACCACTACTCCTAATAATACTTCCACTACCACTACTCATTCTTCTACTACAACTGCTACTCCTACTTGCACTGCTACTACTACTACAACTATGATTCTTTTTTAGAGTATGACCAATTCACTATTTTTATCCGTAAGGGCTTCGCCCGCTGCCGCCAGCCCCCTCTCTCGGAGAATGTGCCATGGAAGAGCTAAGTCATGAGGCCTTGGCGCTGTCGTGAAGCAGTATCGAAACTTCATGCGAAGCCGATTCGCAATCAGCAAAACCAACTGATCACAAGAGGGGTTACCACACCTGGCGATTGGTAAGACGTGTATGGTTTACGGGCTTGGTTGCCACACCTTGCGATTAAAGGGCCGAGGGAGTTCTCGCAGTTTGGGTTACCACGCCTTGCGATGGATGTGCGTGAAGGGTGGCACCGAATTTCAGAAATGTGCCAAATCCCATGTGTTTTTGGACCCTGACCCCGCGGATCTGCGTGAGGGGTGGCACCGAATTTCAGAAATGTGGCAAATCCCTTGTGTTTTTGGACCCTGACCCCGCGGATCTGCGTGAGGGGTGCGCCGCAGAAATGTTGCAAATCCCATGTGTTTTTGACCCTGACCGCATGAGGGGTGGCACCGAATTTCAGAAATGTGGCAAATCCCATGTGTTTTTGGACCCTGACCCCGCGGATCTGCGTGAGGGGTGGCACCGAATTTCAGAAATGTGGCAAATCCCTTGTGTTTTTGGACCCTGACCCCGCGGATGTGGCAAATCCAATGTGTTTTTTGACCCTGACCCCGCGGATCTGCATGAGGGGTGGCACCGAATTTCAGAAATGTAGCAAATCCCTTGTGTTTTTGGACCCTGACCCCGCGGATCTGCGTGAGGGGTGGCACCGAATTTCAGAAATGTGGCAAATCCCCTGTGTTTTTGGACCCTGACCCCGCGGATCTGCGTGAGGGGTGGCACCGAATTTCAGAAATGTGGCAAATCCCATGTGTTTTTGGACCCTGACCCCGCGGATCTGCGTGAGGGGTGGCACCGAATTTCAGAAATGTGGCAAATCCCATGTGTTTTTGGACCCTGACCCCGCCGATCTGTGTGACGGTTGTCGATTTCGAGCCCCCCCAGCAATTCAGACGCGCCCAGGAGGTGCTGAATATCTGGTTTGGGCCTCCCCCCCCCTCGCGCGGTCAATCAACTAGTTACAGTAACCAGCAAGAAGCAGAATTGCAACACTGGAAATTACAAGCTACAACTGGTACAGGAAACTGCGAACCCGCGCCTACAGCCTGGTGGCCCCACAAGGGGGCCGGCGGATTTATATCACTGGCTTTTCTCATGTAAAATCTGTACTTATTAATACGATGACTACTATTTCTACTGCTGACACACCTACTACGCATGCGACCACTACGACTACCATTGCTACTACTGCTACTACGACTACGACTACTACTACTACTACTACTACTACTACTACTACTACTACGAGCACTACTGCGACTGATACTACCACGACTACTGTTACGACTAGTAGTATTGTTTTTGCGACGACTACGACGACTACTACTTCTACTACTACTTCTTCTAATAGTACTACTACTACTACTACTACTACTACTACTACTACTACTAGTACTAGTACTAGTACTACTACTAGTACTAGTACTACTAACTACTTACTACTACTACTACTACTACTACTACTACTACTACTACTACTACTACTACTACTACTACTACTACTACTACTACTACTACTACTACTACTACTACTACTACGACTACTACGACTACTACGACTACTACTACTACTACTACTACTACTACTACTACTACTACTACTACTACTACTACTACTACTACTACTACTACTACTACTACTACTACTACTACCGCTCCTCCTCCTACTACTACTACGACTACGACTATCCCTGCCCCTATCCCTACTACATCTGCTACGACTTCGACCGCGCGCCAAATCCATGGATCGTTAATCCATGTTTGCGTGCCCCCGCGTATACGCACTCCTCGTCAGGTTGGTTTCCACCGAGGAGGAGCGCAGGTCTTGGGGCTGCTGGAGTCTGTCGGCGCTCATGTTGCGCCGATTGGGGTAAGCGGTGAGGGAAGGAGGAGGAGGAGGTGGCGTTTCTG